AGGCGTCATCACCTAACCTCCTCAAACAGTGCCATTAGCTGGTCACCAAGTATTCAAGTTCCTGAGACCATGTGGCCATTTCTCATTCAGATTATATACTAAATATATATTTTATTATATAATAAAGACATTTTTAAAAAGCAAGAAATGTGTTGCAGTACGATGGAAAAGCCAGAGAATCTCCTAAGCCACTTTATAGCAGTGCATTTTTTATAAAATAGGCGAGATAGATAAGTTAATGGCAAAACAACTTAAATCTCCCAAAAGTGTGACGCTTCAGAGATAGATGGTTTCTTACCAATGAATTCTTTCTAAATAAGACCAGCCCACCACTCACATACTTAAGGATCAAAAATAGAGATAAAATTATCTTTGGACATATTTAATAATACTAGCATAACCCTTATAATGAAACTAAAAGCATTGCAAGAGAAATTAAGGCCCCAAACTGTCTCATTAATAAAGACACAAGCACACACACACACACACACACACACACACACACAGCCCTTAAAATATTTTAGGATGTTCATTCCAGAAATATATAAAACTAAAACATTTCAGGAAAATGAAGTTTCTGTGAAATGTTGTATTGATATTTGAAAATCATGGACTGAAGTTTAATAGTTTATAAATGAAAACTGAGGTATTAGGATCATAGCGGTAAAGTAAAAACATTTGATGAATGTCATCATCCAATCGTAAGAAAAACTACTAGCAGATTATGAAAGACAAACGAGTATCTCATTTTGATGTCTCGTGTTATCTGAAGGTTTGTGAGATGAGAACGGAGTGCCTATGGTTCCACTGGAGTCTGCAGTGCAGGGACGGATCTCCACTGTAATGAGGCAGGCAGACAAGAGGTGAGAAAAAGAAAGGAACTCTCACTGTTTGCAGATGATGGGGCTTTCGCACAGAAAACCCCCTACATTTGCTGGAATTAGACTGCTAAGTAAATTTAACAAAACAACTGGATACAGGCATGGGACATGACTGTTTACAGCTAAAATTTTAAATGATCTTGTTTATATTCTGGTCTCTTATTGTCGCATAAATCTTTCACCTTTCACAATGACCTAATGCCCTCCAAACCACAGGTCCTTAGGAATAAATTTAAACAAATATGTGTGCAACTCCTGAAACCTTCCAGAGGAGACCGAGGAAACCTTCCAGAAAGAGTCAGGTACAGCCAAAGAATGGTGTGCACCGTGGATGGGGGCAGATGCAAAGATGTACTGTTGCAAACAGTCTCAGGGAAATTGACAATTTGATTCTAAAATTTATGTAGAAACACAAAGGGTCAAGAATAATGAAAATGGTCTTGAACAAAAATGCGAAAATTTTCACTACTAGCTATCAAGACCACCATAAAGCTATGGAAGACAGTGTGCAATGGAATAAAGAAAGAGCAGCATTAGGCTGAAAAGTGTAGATTCAAGACAGGAACATAAAGACATGCCTGTAAACTACCTGATTTATGAACAGGATTACTGAAATTCTCTTTTAAATAAATGATACTGAATCAACTAGTATTCATATAGGCAAAATCTGAAAATTAACCTCTCTATCACACTTTGCAAAGAATTGACACCAAACGCCTACATCCATAAAGGAAAGCAACATAAGATCAACATAGTAATGTGGAGATTTATCTTGATAACCTTGGGAGAAGCAGACAATCCCAACTCATACTCAAATAACTTAAGCTAGAATAGATTTGATGAGTTGGACATCATTTAAAAATTAGAAAATTCTACAATTTGTTAAGAAAATGAGGATGTGGGAGTGTGGATTGGTTGAAGTGCTGTTCTGAATGTCCTAGATCATCATGACTCTGATACCCAGAACAAGGCAGACAGGAGAGGAGAAAGGACTAGCAGGAGATAATGATATTACAAGGGAAATGAGGGGCTGGAGAGATGACTGGGCAGTTAAGAGCACTTGCTTCTGTACAGGACTGGAGTTCAGTCCCAGAACCTACATCTGGCAGCTCATAACTTACTGCAACTCCAGCTCCAGAGCATCTGATATTCTCCCTCTGACTTCTGTGGGCACCTGTATGCTTGTGGCATGCATTTACACACATACACACACACACACACGCACACACGTGCGCGCAATAAATATAACTCTTAAATAGTCAAAGCTTTTTTTAAGCAGGCAAAGAAACTAAAACATACATACTCATAAAAAGCATGCATGCAAAGGACGGACAAATGCATACATGCATACACATGCATACATACAAAGATACCAAAGTTAAGCATGAGAGGAATCAGAACAAACATCTAGGACAGCACCACCAAAATTATTTTGTTCATTTCCCTCATTTCAGTTTGCACAGAGGAACAGAGTTCTGCTTATCACACAGAAGACAGATGTATGAGCAAATGGGATGTGCTCTATCATACAGAAGACAGATGTACAAGCGAGGGGAAGGCTGTCTCTTGATGTCATGCATATCTACTGGCCAAGGTGCTTCTCATGTCACACGTGCCTACTGAGTCATGTGTGCAAAGTGGTACCTCCTTTGTGAAACACAAATGCATCACAGAGCTTCCTTACTGGCATGTCTCTGGAAGCCCCATGTCTGAGGAACCATGATGTGGAGTCATTAGAGGTAAAGACGGACCTTGCTGGGATCAGTCCTTGCTCTGCTATTGGTTGGTAACCTGGTGCTGGGAAAGTAACTTAACTTCTGAGTCCCAGTTTCCCCTACAGGATAACGATTTAATGTTGCTTTATGTAAAGTAGGTTTGAATGAAAAAAATGAGATAATAAATGCTAAAATATCACAGAGTTCTGTATGTATTGATAGGGAGAGTGATAGATATTCTTGGAGCTGCATTCAATGTCTACATTGTTATATGTAAATCACACTCCACTTAACGTCACTATTGTCCCTTTTTATTTATTAAGAATTAATGCATGTGCCTAAAAGATTATAAATTTGCACAGATACTTTTGTGTCACCCTACACATCAGACACGGATTAACTAAAATGTATACAGTGTCTCTTATATATTATTAATTGGAGAGAAGATGAAAAGCAATTACTTGGGGAACAGAATGAGACAGTCAATACTATCAATCAATGCAGAAGCTGTGTACATTCCACAAAGAACTGAGAATTTTCACTGTTGTTAAATTCTAAGACTTCTTTTGATATAAATCCCCTCTTGGGTAGATCACAGCAGAGTAAGCCTGGACTCTCAAGACTGTGGGATGATGAAGAGAAAACAATTCCCCTAATTATTTCAAGCTCACTCTAGGTTTGAACTTTGCTCCCTAAGGCTGGCCTCCTATGTCTTCCATGTCTAGTGTCTGCCTAGAGTGCTCTTGCTCACAATAGAGCCTGGAAAACTGGTGCTCATGTTTTAACACCACACACTCATTCCATCAGAGCTTCCTGGCTTAGTTAGGGTTTCTATTCCTATGATAAAGTATCATGACCAAAAGCAACCTGCAAGGAAAGGGTTTACTTCACTTACATTTTCAGGCAAAGGTCCATCACTGAGGGAAATCAGAACAGTAATTCAAGCACAAGGCAGGGACCTGGCAACAGGGACTGAAGCAGAGGCCATGGAGGGAGGCTGCTTACTGGCTTGCTCCTCATGGCTTGCTCAGCTTGTTTTTTTTATACCATCTAGGACTATCTGCCCAGGGTTGAAACCACCTACATTGAACTGGGTCCTCCCTCACCAATCATTAAGAAAAATGTCCCCATAGACTTACCTGCAGGCCAATCTTACAAAGGCATTTTCTCAATGGTTCCCTTGACTCGGATAACTCTACCTTGTGTTATAACAACAACAACATCAAAAACCTACCAAGGACCCTCCGAACTTGCATGCAGATCCTTGCTGAGCACCAGAGATGAACTCTTCCTCATGCGTGTATCATCTAAACCAACATCCTGAGAAAAATGGCCTCCCTTGTGTCTTCCCTCCTTCTCATGGCTCTGGTACGCACACACTATTAGAAAATAACCTTCCTAGCTGGTTGTGGTTCCCTAAGAGAAAGGCTTATGTCTACTTGCCTTTTCCCACACTACTGAGAGGCCTGTCACACCGTGGCACTCAATAAATGTTTGCTAGATGGCATTAATTATCCACAGGGCCTTAATACAGTCTGCTCTGTCCAGTGAGTCTCTTCATGAATTATTTAGAAATGAAAACAACTGCATCTAGTTCGGTTCCCTCCTTTGGAGACATTCTTTGTTCCTTATCTCCTATTGTATGAGTGTTTTTTCCACAGCCTCAGGGGTTGTGTGTGCACTGCTGGCCATGGTGCTGGTGAAGCTGAAGCATGCAGGAAGGCAGGGAAATGACACCTGCCGCCATTTCAGATTAAAAATCTGAGACTCTTCTGGGGGAGAACAAATCACAGCAGGCACACACATATGCATATATGTACAAATATATGACTTAAATCTGAATTAAATATTCCAGGGGATCTGATACATTTTTATAATAGCTGACAACATATACCCAGAATGGGAACTCACTAGGAAATATTCACGGTTTGACCACACAGCGTAGTAATTCAGTCCAGCCTACAAATAGGAATCATACTGGCTACTAAGAAACACAGCCTAGTTCTAACAGTCTCCTCAAGATCATAAAGCATGCCGAATTACTTTTGAAAAAAAAATCCCATTATTTGTGCCAAAGTGGGAGAAGCAGCTGTTCTTCCAGCAACGCTAGGCACATTTTGATGACTGGCTCAAGGAACATAAATGTCAAGGAGACTTTGGAGATAAGTGCATAAAATCCATATCCGTCTGCTTTTTTTGAGATAAATAACAGTCTGGCTTTAATGATCTTGCAAAAAGAAGTCCATAGGAAGGACCAAGGAGTGGAAACAGAAAGAGTGGGAACAGAGAAAGAGGAGGAACAGGAAAAGAGGGGAACAGGGATGGGTATAGAAAGAGTAAGGACAGGAAAAGCATGGGAACAGCGATCCAGCAGGGATGCGGATAGAGTGGGAACAGTACCTACTTGGTCTGATGTTTCGATCCCTGCAGGTGGGCGTGGTACTGTTCTATGGAGTTGAGCGACACACTGCAGATGGTACATCGGTAAGTGCGCCTCAGACCTGTGGGCGACAGACAGACGTGATTAGCTGCATCCCTGCCATCAGCCCTGATGACGAATGAATCAGATCATTCACGAAGGCACGTTCTGAGTTTCAGAGAAGACACTGGGTCCCCTGTACCAAGGCCACTCCTGTCCTTCCCTCTAGAGCCCAGCCACCAGACTCAGCGGAAGTGGGACTGTACAGGTGTTTAGAAGATGTCTGTCCTGTTTACAGATGGCTGATGGGTAAAAACAAATGACTTTGGACTCAAGATAAATGTTTTGGGAATTTTCTAACTCAAGTCAAGAAGCATGCTGCCTTTTTCCTAAGTCATATAGACATGATTTTATCTCTACAGAGAAATAAAAACAAACAAACACACAAAAACCCATCCTATTCCTTTGCCATTTCCCTTCCCAATCAGAACTGAAGTGTAACATTAGATTTTAGTAACCTAGGCTTCATATTAAGTTTGTCTTATAAAATGCAAGTAACCAATAGAAATAAAATGAACCAATCAATTCTCAGGGTCTGATTTCCCATCAGAGTTAAGACCATCTATGTATTCTCCTGTTTATTCTCTTGCCTCATTAATACAGCATCAGCTTTGGGTTGGGCACTACTGGGAATCACAAACTAGAAAAGATGCTTTTGTTTTCAAGGAATTTAGGAAAATCTTGAGTATTTCAGAACACCGATTTATCTGAAGGGAAATTTATGTTACCAAACAGCATTCTCTACATCACATTATGTTGAAATAGGAGCGGCGGGGCTGCGTCCCCAACACCCCGGCCTCTTGGCTAGCTTATGCCCGAAATAACAACACACAAACTGTATTCATTTAACTGTTTGACCCATTTCTATCTAGCCTCTTCTAGGCTAACTCTCGCACCTGGACTAGCCCATTTCTAGTAATGTGTGTAAGCACCCCAAGGTGCGCTTACCGGGAAGATTCTAGCCTTCGTCCATCCTGTCCGGGAGCAGAGCAGAGTCTGACCTCACTTCCTCTTCCGCCCAGCATCCTATTCTGTTTACTCCTCCCATCTATGTTCTAAGCTATGAGGCCAAGCAGTTGGTTTATTGCTCAGCCAATGAAATCAACAGATTGATATATGACACTCCCACATCAACATTAAACTCCCATGTGGTGGAGATCCACGACCGCACATATTCCTCTGACTGCTGTAGTCCTAAGAGAGGGAGGAAAAGCGAAGCTAATGCTGAGTCCTGTGAGATAGTATGGTCTCTGGGACGGAGGGTATCATTCCCCATTGCTTCTGAAGCTTCCACTCTGCATCCTCAGCCTTGGAAGAACCAGGAAAACATAGCAAGGAAAAGGAAGAATAGACAGAGTCATTCTAGAGGATGACCCAAAACTCCAGGAAGGAGAAGAAAGAACTCTTCCACATATGTCTCCGTGATAAGCAGCGGGAACATGTGTTCTGCTCTAGATACATCAGTGGAAATTTCTTGCATCTGTGGATGAGCATAGGATTTCTTGACACTAAAAATTCCTGGCCCTGAAAGAACGAGCCCCACAGAGGCAGTGTGAATGGAAAGTGTGGGAAAAGCAGAGTCACCGCTGGAGTCTGACTTCAGCTACTAGGAGTTCCGCTGATGGTGTGGGAGGGCATCGTTGGACCCACTCTGAACATCTGTGATATGAGCAGAACCAAACTCAAAGAGCAAAGCCTTAGAGTATGGGTCTGAACTCAGGCAGCCACCCAGGAAAAACTTCTGGGGTAGGCGTCCTCCATCTTCCTAGTGTTGCCCCTTCAATACAGTTCTTCGCATTGCAGTGACCCCATAAAATTAGGTCACTGCTATGTCACAATTGTAATTTTGCTACTATAATGAATCATAACGTAAATACCTGATAGGCAGGATATCTGACACGTGACCCTGTGCAAAGGTTGTTTGATCTGCCAAAAGGGGTTGTGACCCACAGGCTGAAAACCACTGTTCTATAGGTTCTGATCAGTAAGCTATACACAGAGTCAGAAGGTGTTTCAAACCAGAACCCCATCCTAACCTATACTCCAAAAATATGGTGGTGCACACTTTTGATCCCAGCACTGGGGGAGGCAGAGACAGGTGAAACTCTGTGAGTTCAAGGCCAGCCTGGTCTACGGAGAGAGTTCCAGGTCAGCCAGGCCAACAAAGAGAATCACTGTCTTGAGCCATCCCCCTACCCACGTGAAAAAAAAAATAACACCCAAACAGACAAACCACAACTTCCCCACCGAATCATACTTCCCACACTCTTTGAAGCTTGACTTAGGAGCAGCTAAGGTGGGTCTTAGGAATGAAAACCAAATCACTCCATGAAAAAGAGCTGAGCTTGCATGGCCTTTCCACTTCAGAAGGATTATCCTGCTCCCCAAACCCAGAGGCTATAAGTTATCACAGCCAGTACAGAAGTTGTCAGGATGCTTATCCAGCCCTGGTCCATGCTGCTTTTTTATGCATAGAATCAAAATATGAAATTCGGCTTCAGGCAGTAACTCCCTCCGGAGGTCTCCATCAATCTTTTCATAATAAACAGTAACTGCCGTGCGTGAGTTCTCCTTAGAGTTCACACTAATCAAAGGGCTCCTCGTAAAAAATGGAGGTTCAGTTTGGCAATAGGCATAAATATTTATGTTTAAAACTGGGAACTTTTAAGAACATCAACAAATCTAAAAAATATTCTGATCTGCTGCTTTCTGGAAGTTTTCTCGGGCTCTGCAGCCAAACCGAGCCATGGCTGCAATGCGAGCTGCAGGGGCGATGAACTGAAAAGCCGTGGGCATAAATAAGAACAAAGGTAGAGAGAACCTCCCCCACAAAAGACACGCATCCTCAGTGGGAACTTGGGATTTATTAATACTTAGCTGAAACCCTAACTACTTTGGAATTATATGGCTCTTTTTCCTCGGGGAACTAGAAAATCTAATTATTAAATCAAAAATATCAACTTCCTCACTGAATCCATTTCAGCACAATAACACATTAATGGCCTCCAAAAGCCCCGGAGTCTAGCAGGACAGTGTGGGAACAAGACAGAGTTTCTGACTTGGGGGATCCAGAGGATCCTCTTGAAGACGACACATCGCTTTGTATTTCTATTTCCCAGCACAGTGTTTATAAAAACAGATGGGTCTGGAGAATTTAGCAGAATGTGATGCCGCAATGTGTCTTTTCAAGTCTAGCGAAACTGCAGTCCACATGGCTTCAGGCAAATTCACTGTACGTTAGATAAACGGTACTGAGCTTGTATTTTGGTGCCAGGTGTTTTGCTGAATGCACAGGTGTTGGGAATGATGAGACATTGTATGTTTTCATATGGAGCTATCTGGGGAGAAAGGCAAGCAATGAGGGAAGGCTTCTGAGGTAGAAAAGCACAGATAAGAGCCTCCTAGTCCTCATGAGGGAAGCTACTTGTACCCTGGACAGCAGCAAACAGAGTCACACGTGGTCCAAGTACCGATGGCGTGCTCCATCCTAATATGACTCACCTGCCTCCTTCCAAGGCTTAGGGAAAGTCATGGAGGGGGGAGCGGAGAAAGAATGCATGTGTCAGGGGCTGGGTAGGACATCTGTGAAAGAGCGTCATTGGGACATGGTAGGGGAAGTGCACCTGAACTCAGAGCAGCTGTGCATGCTGAAGAAGACCTCAACAGCATTCAGCATGGATGGGCGGGGAGCCCTCAAGGCTCCACCCCTAGATGAGGAGCTATTGGCAGTTAATGTCTGCTGGGGAAGGAAGAATCAGTTTTGTTTGGGGATATGGCCCCCAGCAGATTGGCCTTAGTCCAGTGTATGGCCCCACACTCATGCCCATGTGGTGGGCATCACTAATTGGATTCAATGGGCTCTGTGGGAAGCTTGATTTAAAAAAAAAAACAGAGGATGATGACCTATCTGCATCTGTGATGCTGCTAAAGGAATAGTCTAAGGAGAGGAGCGGCATGTGGAGGGCAGAGGAGGAAAGGAGCCTGCATGAAAGGCAGTCAGAAAATGAAAATAAAAGATGAATTAGAAAAAGCAAAATATCCTTGTCAATCAAGAATTCAACATCCATTAATATACCATTTGAAACACGAGGGTTTCAAAGCAAATGTCTGTCCATAAACAAAACCTAGCCACACAGTATGCCTGCAAAGTTGAGCTACTATTGCTGCATGAAGCTCTTAAGGAACATAACAGCAAAATAAAAACCCTACACCATTTTGAAATTAGGTTCTACAAGCAAAAAAAAAAAAAAACCAACCAACCAAACAAACAAGCAAACAAACAACAAAAAAAAAAACATGAACACCAGAAAAGATGAATGTGGCACCAGATGCCATCAGGCTTGACTGCCACCACTTGAGGCCTCACATGGGGAAAGAAGAGAACAAAGTCCTGACTATTGTCCTCTGACTCCACTGTGACGTGCATGTATGCACACACACACACACACACACACACACACACACACACACACACAAATTTCAAGATGCAAATAAAATAAAATAATGAAGTTATGGGTATCCTTCTTTTAAAATTGCTCTTAATTTACCTGAAGGCCACCAACAATCTAGATACTGTATTTCAGTGTTTACAACATGCATCGAGTTCAAACAAAGAACGAACAGGAGTGGAAAAACACTACCGAAGGATCATTTTCTAGTACAGTTTTAACTCTAAGGTGACAATGGAAATCTAAGGAAGGGATAATACCACATGTTCTCTTACAGCAACTACTAAACAAATATAACGAGTTAAAGGCAGAATGGTGAGTGTTTCTATTAGCCCAAAGTGAGGAGGGATAAGAGTTAGAAAAAAGAAAATATGGAACCTTGGGAAAGGGACCCTCAGCCAATACAGTGTTTGCTCACCCAGCATGAGGACCTGGATTTGGTTCCCCAGCACCCATGTTCATATCTGGGTGCAGCACCAGGTGATAATGGCCCGAGAACTAGGGAGGCTGAGGTAAGAGGACCCCTGGAGATTTCTGCCTACCTATCACTGAGTGATTTCTACCAAATCACTGA